TTTTAAGAGAGAAGTAGATTAATGAACATTTATTTCTGAAAACTAGTCTCTGGATTGAATCCAACTTCCAGCTGGTGCCTCTCAAGATCTGTAAGGGTGCAGTCATTCCACAATGGACTACTGACTGATTTCTAGTACTTTATTCTCCACACAGACTCAAGTATCTGTAGTTAAGCAATGGTTAGCCCTAGAACTCTATTCTGGCACTCAGCAACACAAGTAATAAGCAGTATTTCGAGATGCATTAAGCAGTGTTAGTTTTCCAGACAAAACCACATTCAAAAAGTGTTCTAACGCTCCCCCACCCTGACAGCAAGTCGAGGGAGGTTGAGAGAACTGTCCTTTCCCTGCATAGCAGCGTACGTGCATGTGGCACAGCGCTGTTTCCCCAGAACCTGCATGGTTTAGATTTTAATGGAGTGTTGGGCTAGAGCTGAATATATGGAAGCTCTTGAGTTACAAGGAGAATTATTATTGCAAACCTGACTATAGCTACAGTTGGTGTTCTTGGAAGATGAGGGTGCAAGTAACAAGAAGCTAACAACTCCATGCCAGTAAGTCAAGTTTCATTTGCTTTCCTTTTCCCCTCCCTTCCAAAGCTGGCTGAAATGCAAGTTCCACTGTAACTGCAGTGACTAGCAAACGTGGATGCCATCACAAATACAGCGATGCCAAGAGGAAGTCCTCCGTTGACTAATAACAGAGTTTCCAATAGCAACTGCAAGATATTCTGGGCACTGAACTGAAGAGATTTAGGGATATATTCTAAACAAGATGTGCTTTTTGCCACTACAGAATATGAATTGTATAACATCTGGACAAAGGGTTTTTAAGAAGTCGCCAGTAACTTGTATTACAAAAGCAGAATCGGAGGTTTTGCTGGCTCTTCAGTGACCTTTACTTCAGCAGGTAACTGCTCTCCCAACCAAGCCTCTCACCCAAGTATGGCTGCACAAAACAAAGACACAAGTATCGTTACCCAGTTCAACATTGCAAATGTCTCATGTTTTTGTTGTTGAATGAACCAAAAGGAAAACACAGCCTTTTATTTAGGAAAGGGGAGACTGCATGCTCGCTCATAATATTGTTGTGTAGCATTTGTCACTGCCGGAGCACACTACAGAACATCATCACGTTCATTTGTTAACTAAGTAACCCATTCTTTGAAAACCTATTCTCTAACGCGAGACAGCAACAGTGACATATTCCAAGATCATTTACCAGAACTGGAAAATTACTTTGATAAAGATTGCACTGTCTCACAGCTTCTCTTCTGTACCCTTTGCATGCTCAGACTGCAGGGCACTTGATACAGTTACCTCCCCTGCAGACACAGGATTTTAAACTTTTTTTTTCATTTGAACCCAGAAAACCCCCTGAATTTCCACTGCTGCGAATCAATAGTTCTATCAAAGACTGCCCATGCATTTTCATAGGGGTAATATATTTTATCTTTGAAGTAAACACAAATGTGTCAGAAATATTTGCCAGGTCGATTTGTAAGCTCTACTACGTGGGAATTATGCCAAAATACATGCACAAATCAGAGTGCTAAAGAGTAACTTCAAAAAGATGCTAAGCAGTAGTGAAAACGAGAAAGCTCTAAGCAGCCAAATGAGATGAAATTTGTCATCAAATCACTGAAAACAAGAAACAGAACCAACCTCCTTACAGAGAAACTGATACACCACACGCCCAGTTCTGACACTGTTAAAAGTCGCCTCTGAATAAAACATTATACACGACACTTTCCAGCAGCACAGACACTGCACTGCTGGTTTTTAATCCCTAAAATGTTATGCACCACAAAGTGCTTTTAGTCTACAGCACAGCTTCTCGCCGTTTTTAATTTCTGAATGCAACCAAGTTATTCGAGACGTAGGTAAAATAAAAAAAATAGAGACTAATGAGGGTTTAAAACTCTAGGTGGCACACTCATACAGTAAAAGACTATAAATCTGAGCAGAAATACATAGGTTTACCTATGGTATTTTCTTGGTTTTCCACCCAAAACATAAATAGATAATCTGCAAATACTGTTCTGAGGCCAGTTTGTGAATTATTGTTACAAAAGGATCTGCACTATTTCCACAAGTTAGAATCATGTGATTTAATATAATACTATGCAGTATTTGCAGTTTTGTATTTCAACAGTACTGAATTCATCTGAGACTCCTTAAACAATAAAGTCTCGTGGCATAGCACCCATCCTGTCACACTGTCATACTCCGACCTACTTCCTGGATAACAGGAATGAGGTAACTACACAGTCTCAGGCAACAACCAGTTCAGTTATGCACATTTTCAACCTTGGAACTCACAGGGGAAGTTTTTGTTGCTCCTTTGTTTTTAAGCAGAAGCTCAGCTTTGGTTTATTACATCAAGTCCAGAGCCATAAAAAGGACATGTTATAGACAGCCTTTAACCTACCCATATACCGCCCACGGAAGGCAGTAGAAAATCTGAAATTCAGATTAGCTTTGCTGGTGCTAAGTCATGAAAATGACACTGCAATATTTTTATTGGAATTTGTCAAGGGCATGTTGCTGCTGTTATGCCATCTTTCTGAAGCCACTGTAAAGGCAATGACAGCCATGTAACCAAACTGCCACAGTACGCACCTGAGCAACATCCAGAACGAGGGGAACCACGAAACTGAAGAATTAGGGTGCGTGGCACAAGGCAGTCAAACAAGCTCCCTCATCCTTACGGTGCAACCTGGCTGCTGTGGAGAAGCTACTACACCACGGCGAAGGGGCACCCACACTGTAGGTACAAAATCAGTAGAGACCAGCACGCAGCCCTGCAGTCAGATGGTTTTGAAATTCATGATGCGCAACAGATGTACAACAAAGGACACGCAGAAGGAATAAAAAAAGTGCATATGCATATACTGATTGGAGAACTACGTAGACATGGAAGCATGTGCCCACAAAGCCACAGAGAAGAATGTCTTTGGCCTTAAGCCAGTAAAAGAGCCCCTGTGAAGCAAAATGCACAAACAAGTTTTCTCCATTTCTACAGTGCTGGATATCAACTCATTAATAAAACCATTATCAAGTGTATTCATAATCACTCTGTGCTGTGTGGTAAATATTTACCAGGAAGTGTGCATCTGTAGCATCCTTTCCATCTTAAACATGTAAATGTGATAAACGTGTCTAACATAAGTTATTTGTCTACATATATAAATTTGTTCATTGCCATTTGCAAGTCAAATAAACCACTCATTTTTTTAATCATTTAACAAGTTTATTTTTACAAATTATGGCTTAAAAGCAGGTACTGTAGATACAAAAATCTAAGAGACTGATGCAGCACGTCATTTCTTTGTCTTTGAGGTTAAGTTATTCATTTCAGTGGGTATTCATCCCATTTCTCATAGCAGTAATAAATAGGCATTTTACTTTTGGTAAAACATTAGACAGCAGGTTAATCAATACAAAATTAACTTTTAACAGCACTGCAGTAATGTAACTGATTGGTCATTACAGGTTCATCATGGAGCTGGAAAATTTAATATTGGATCTCTATGCCAACCTAAGATTGAGTGATTTGCAGGGTCTCCAACATGTCTTCCACTGCCTTCAAAGAGTATTTCGTTTCTTTCTTACTGCGACCTGCAAACTAAACAACAACAACAACAGGATTGTTATGCATCATAGATCAGAAATTCTGTGCATAGCTCCTGTACAAATAACAGTTCTAAACATTAGGTACCAAAAGTTTCCTCTGATTGCTACAAACGAAAGTTCTGTGCATCAAAATCTACTATCAAATAATCCAGTCATCATATAATTACTTTTTATTGTTCAAAGTAAGTGTGAGTAATAATCTTGTATTTGACTGTAACCTCCTATTACAACAGCCATTTTAGAGAGCATTTGAAATAAAAGTTTGTCTTGATAAAGAAAGATACAGCCTAATAAATACTGCTTACGGCTTCAGATTGCCTAAGACACATGCAGCCAAGTTTGGGAAAGGAAGGGGTAGAAGGGTAGGAGATGCTGATCACCCCACACTGACCTCAAAAGGGTTTTTCTAACTGGACTGACAATTTCCATCACTCATCAGCCATATCTAACGCAGTGGATTTACTGACTAGGTCAGTCTACAGTCAAAGTAAACTCTCAAACATTTTTAATACACCTGTATTAAGGAGTTTTGCATTTGGTGCTGGGAGGGAGGGTAAAGAAATTACAGAAGCAGTTAACTATAACTTGCTGCTAGTAAAACAGCCTGTTCTCTACCTATATGTTAATATCTAAACACTCAATAAATTTTCAATTTAATGTTTTTTATTTCAAATACCAGTGGTGTCTCACATAGTTAGTCCTTGATTTATAATGTGTCCCTTCTCTCTTGTAATTAACTGAGTTTAGCAAACGCTTCATGACCTGTTAAGAAAGATTAAGTCATCAAACCCAGGTAATATCACACCAGCAACAAGCTGCAGGACCTGTTAACCTGCTTTTGACCCCCAGGCCACAATCCAATATCGGGATTCCCAATCAGTACTGAGTTCTTAAAAAAGTTGTTTTGGCACAGAAAACGAAATGCTATTTCAAATTAAATAGAATGAAATGTTGTTATTGTGACAACACTTTACAGTTAAGAGACGTACTGCAAACACCGTATTTTCATATTTCATACTGCTAGATGATGAACTGACGTGCCATGTTTTGACTCTAGTAGTAAGTATAAACCCATTCTTCAGGTCGTGCGGTTTCCATAGTGAGCTGCAACAGTCAACCTCAGAGGAAAATCATAGATTTCTTACGCTCTCCCAGGTGAGAGAAGTAACTTTTGCTTGGATCCGACTGAATAAAATGTCCTCTTTTTGTTCACACTAAACAATAGTCCCCCAAGCAGATACTTTGTGAGTCCAAATCCTTTCATAAAAACAAGCAAATGAAAAAACAGAACTCAAAATCTTTGACTGAAAAATTGCTTCAATTGAAAGCATTCAGAGATTTCAATGCAAAGCACAGAAGCCTGAATGTACTGTGGTCAAAAAGCACGCCTGGTAGGACATGCAGAAAGCACGCAGAGGAAAGCTTCGAAATAAGAAGAATTTTACTTATTTTATTTCTCTTCAGGGACACTGAAAGCAAAACTGACATGAGATATTAGTTTAAAAAAAATGTTACTTGCTAATTTCAAGAGTGGTTGCCTTCACGATACTGACGTGTCCTTTAAGCTGAACAAATAAAACCAAACTCCGCGTCATAACAAACAGAAGTATACTTGGAAATGTAATCACTTCAAATTTGCCCTGACGAACAATTATTTTGTCTATTCTGCCATTACACAGCAATTTGACTGATTGAGCCGGAATCCGTTTCTTAAAATCATGATTTAATTTTCCGTTTCCCAAATGGTTTGTAACAAAATCACCTCTCCAACCATAAATACCATGTGGATTGCTAACACAGAAGAATTTAGCAATCTACACAAGAAGCATGTATCTGGAAAATTACTGTGAGTAGGATCACATTAAAGATTTTTGCGAGCATTAATCAAACTTGCCTGCCTCTGCTGAGACGCTTCCACCAGAGGACATGCTAAACCAATTACCTAATTGACGAGCATTAGGTGGCCATATTTTGTTTCGATGCTGAAGTAACTGTGACTCATGTCCTCAGTGAGAACAGATACACGTTCTTCACAAGGATCTGCACACAGATTATAATCCCGTTTCCCAGCGATAAGGCAAAACTGAGCTTCTAATAATAATAAATCTAGAATAATTCTTTGAATAATGACTACTTCTCTAACATCTGAAATAAAAGATTAAAATTAAATTTTGTGGGGTTTTTTTTTTTTTCACCCGGTCAATTAAATTTAAGTGGCCTAGAGAATAATGACCTTTTTTTTCAGAGCATGTGGTAGCAGCCAGGAATTCCAGCTCCATGCAGCAGCCCTAGCTACAAAACCTTCCTGTCTTCCTTTGAAAGTTGCTCCTATATTAGGCACAGATGAGAAATACTTATCAGCACGGAGGGTTACGCATTTAACATCAAAATAAGCATATTAACCAGAGGGAGCATCAAATATCTGTCTTTTCAGAAAATTATTTAATTCAACTATATTCTGAATTCAACAATTCAACCATATTTTCCTGTACAGAAACTGCTGTACAGTCTAACCAACACTGCTGAAAGCAAGGTTTTCTTTTTACACCCAAAGACTGTTTTCTTTAAATGATAATAAACGAAAAAAGTTCCTCTAATTTCATACAGGAATGCAAAGGAAAAGCAAACATCAAGTGCCAAAGCAAACTGCCTGAATAAGAGAATAAATCGAAAGGAGGAGACCAGGAAAAATATTTCAAGTAAACTGCATCTAAAATTTTAAAAAATGCAACTATAGCCAGTGCTTAATTTGAAAAAAATAAAAGCAGTTTTCCAGAATTACTGACCAAACTGCTGGTAGTTCAAATCCAGAATGAAAATGGGGAAAGATCTCACTGTAAGACAATTGCTCAAAAATAACTTTTTGAATTAATAACTTCATATATTAAAGTCACAAATTCATATAATTTGTCTAGGAACCCAAGTCGGGATTCTAAATGCATCTTATTCTCTAGAACATGACCACAGGAAAAATTGCATTTAACAATGTAAGAAGGTCCAACTAATAAAACAAGTCAATGCCAAACTCAACAAGCTCTTAAGGCTCTTATTACACTTTACAAAGCGCTTTGGATAATGCAAGGAAAGTGGGGAGGATTTATAGAGATAATATAAGTATCTAGCTTAAAACTTGGCTAGACAACCTTCCACTAAATGGAGGAATGCTGTAAGGGCTTCCACTGGCACAAGCAATCAAGGATTCATCCCTAGGTCCAAATGATGAAAATTTCCAACCGCTCAACACCCCCAGGGAGCCACAAATCAGTACTGACTCACAGGGGAAACTGCCACCTACTACATCACCAAACACCATCTGCTGCAGCAGTTGGATGTCATAAGTCTCTGACACAACAGGCACGCTGGAGTGGCCAAACCCTTCCGCAGTCATGGAACAAGCTCGGGAGGGTTGGGCTGGGGCAGGCCTGTCCAGCTGCAGTCATTGGAGCTTCTTGTGGTACTTCTGTGAAGGGGATGTTCACGCCACTTGCTCGCCAAATCCTATTGAGAGCACTTACATTTTATGTACAGCTCAGTTCCCCCTGTGATTCCACTCAGGTACGGTGTTCGTCATTTTATGTCCCAAACAGCTAAAAAGAGCAGCTGAAATATGCAACGTATCACAGAAGTATGAAGTCACAACGAAGTTATGAAATGTGTTTTAAATATATGTGAGTCATGTTAACGTGACTTGTTCTGGTAAGCATCAACCAAAAATGCTTAACGAAGGATCCAAAAGAGCTTTACAGAAACAGCGGAACTGCACTTTCCAGTAAAAACCGCACCAAACCAACCCCGCCCCCAAACAGAACCCCACACCCAGAACGCCCCCCAACACTACCAGCACTCCAAATACAAGTCGTATTTCCTTGGAGCTATTATGATGCCAACAGAAAGCCATGTGGAGAGGGGAAAAAAAGATTAAAAAAAATCAAAGGCCAGCTGACCTGGCTGTGAGTCAAGTAACTATAAACTGTTATAATTAAACTTGCATTGTATTTAGAACCAGGAGATGTCCATTTCTAGGTCTTAATCTTGGTACGTCACCACTCCACAGCCAACACTGCGTTTACATTTCCATCCCGAGGCACCCTGAAAGGGGCTCTTCCCCGGAAGTGCCAACACGTCTCTACTGGTGCTTTGAACTGGAAACTTCAGGTGTAATATTCACTTAAACATTTTTGTTAGGATAGAAAACATGGAATAATAGTATTCACTCAAAATTCACACATCTTTTAAAACCTGTTTTGTTCTATCGATGGTGAATCCACTGTGTATTCTGATCTTCAAGGGGGATTTGTTCATTTGTTTGTCTAAATCCTGCGATACTTGGGTTTTCCATCAATCCTGCGCTTACTACTGAAGTCAAAAGAACTCCTCCTTGTTTATGGGAAATCAGAAAAAGTGGTAATTCATACACGCCTTTCTGTCATGAGCAGGCAAATGGTTTATTAATGAAAAGCAGGGAGTCATTTAAACAGCAAAACAGAGAAATAAACTTTAGGCACACAAGTATAAAATGCTTAATTATGTCCTCAGGGATACAATATTCTTCACTGTAAAGTACAGTCAGAAGGTACAGGGCCAGTCAGGGGAAATGGAAAATACTTTGAAGTTGTCATGCCTCAAAAAGACGTCAGCCACAAGAAGCTGCACTCTTGGCAGTGCATGCACATACAGTGCATTTAGAAAACTGCATTGGCCATAAAAGAAAACCTTAATTTAATTCCGTAATAGATGGAGCTGGACAAAAGGCCATTTGGCAGTATCAAATGTGAAACAGTAGCAGCAAGAGAAAAACTAAATAATGGGTTCTGATACTGAAATATTATATAAAGAAAGGAATGTTGCATGTACATATATATTATACACACTCCGCATTTAATACCAACGTTTTTGCTCAGAAAAAGTTCTGGGGAGAAACGGACAGCACAATGTTGATGTTCAGGATTACTTATACATAAACTTTGATTGGCAGAACATTAAGAACAGCTGTAAGTGTCAAACAGACACTACATTTGGGACACACGGACAGCAGAACCTATAAACTAGCACCTGGTTTCATTCATAGTTATGGAAAAATACAGAGGTTTATATTACAAAAGCAAATATAGATGTTTATGCATAACTTTTCAAATAGCCAACTCCTAATGACTTCAGTAAGCTTTGACTCTGGAGTACAAAGTCTAGATTTTCACAGTTCATAGGCATTTTTCTATAGAACTATGCAAAACCAACTTCAGAGACAATTACTAAGGTAATTATTAGGAAAACCATTAAATATTATTTTGAAAGGTGAGAATAAACTGAAGGAAAATAAAACTTTAGAATTTTCATTTGTTTTCTAGTAAAACCGAAGTAGATGACCAAGTCACTCTAAGAATTAAGACATACCAAGTTTTATTAAAATAACTTAGCCATAGAACTTTGTCTGGAAGTCAACATTACACTAGTGTACATTCGGTTAACGTTAGAAAATAAATCTGTTTAAAGCTTATCAGTAAATAATAGTAATTACTCATTGTAAAATATCAACCTTATATTAATTAAGGCTTCCAGGAAAGCAAACAGAAGTAAAAGGCAAAAAATCCAAGCAAATTACGGTGATTTACATGTCATATCTCGCCTTCGGAACAGCAGTTGTTACAAGTGCAAAGAAGTACAGAGCACGGTGTATCATAAAAGAAAGACGTACTAACCTGGTATGCTCTATTTATTTGGTTAGCGGCCCAGCTGGCGTATTTCATATTATCTTTTTTCATTTTTGCACTTGCTTTTGGATTGGAAGCAATATGGCTGGCAGACTAGGAATACAAAAATAAAACCAGTGTAACTATATGTGCATGAAATAAACCCACAGCATTCAGCACCTCTGCACTTAGAGCCCCAGCGATAGCGGAAAAAGAGAAAAAAAAACCCAAACAGCTACTAGTAAACAGCATCCAAGTAAGAATTAGCTGAACTTTTGTAACAATTTAAAACATTATCCCACTCTGCTCAGCAGTTGTGAGGTCACACCTGGAATACTGTGTTCAGTTTTGGTCCCTGCTATTCAAAAAAGACGTGGACAGGCTGGAAAGGGTCCAGAGAAGGGCCACAGAGATGATCAAAGGACTGGGAAGCCTGTCATATGAGGAACGGCTGAGAGAACCAGGTTTTTTCAGCCTTGAGAAAAGAAGGTTTAGGGGAGGCTTTATCACCACGTTCAAGTATTTAATGGGTGGCTACAAAGGAGATTTAGACTCCTCTTTTACAAGGAGCCACATGAAAAAGACAAGGAGTAATGGGTACAAGTTCCTCCTGGGGAGATTCCGATTGGACACAAGAGGAAAATTTTTCACAGTGACAGCAATCAGCCATTGGAATCATCTCCCCAGGGAAGTGCTAAATTCCCCAGCGTTGGACACTTAAGACTCAGCTGGACAGGGTGCTGGGCCATCTTGTCCAGACCATGCTTTTGCCAAGAAAGGTTGGACCAGATGATCCTTGAGGTCCCTTCCAACCTGGTATTCTGTGATTCTATGATACCAGGAATTGGTTGATCTAATTAAAGCTAAATAAGACTTCAATTCAGTTAATCCCATTTGCTTCTCCTAAGGTGAGAGTTATGAGTTGGTTTTCCCCATTATATTTGCTACCAGAGATGATATAAAGTACATCACTTCTGTGTCCAAAGTGCTGTTGAAAACATAAGTTTTTTCCCCTGTGGCATCAGAAAGTGCATTTTAAAAGCACGTAAGTCTATCTATGAACTATGCCCATCCTCATCTGAAAAAATGAAAAGGTTATTTAAGAACCATTCTCATCTCTCAGGACTTTCCCACTGTTGTAAATAAATTAACTTCACAGAGAATCATTGCTACTCCCTGCCAGAACATCCTGCTGAGTGCAAAAGTACTCGAATGCAAAGAACCACAGAACCCTATTCTCACCCATCAATGAAGAACCCCCAGAGATTTTAAAAAGGGGTGTGGAAGCAAATGTCTACATGAATACTAAATTTCAAATTCAAAGAATGTTCCTGTACATATTTCCCTGAAAATACCTGCAGGAAGGAGAGAGGAGTGGGATTGACAAAGAAGCAGCCTCTGCAAAGTCAGGAACACATTCTCTGAAGCCATGCCTGCATGAATTGAATCTGTGACCTAGTTCAGGGTCCTAAGATGAGGCATCACGCTCTGGTTTCCTGAACTTGATGAATTACTGACCAGTTTCCCCAGCAGATATGACCGAAAGTCTTTATGGAGAATCTACCAGGGTTGTGGACGTTCTCTGGGGACTACAAACGCTGGGCATGTCTGTCAAGTACAAAAAGCAGCAGCCACAGCAAAACCAGATCCTAATGCCTGGAAACAGCATTGCAAAGAAATTAGGAGCCAAAAGATAGGAACAGAAGGAGCGATGGCGAGCTGTGCTTGCAAAAGCCACCTAGAGAATCTGTAACAGCAGCCAGACGAGCAAAAACAAAGAACTGAAACAGAGCCTATGTGCATTTTTTGCAGTAATGACGTTGCATTATGCAAATCAGGGTCTGTGCATGTGACCTTCAGGCACTGCCAGAACTAAAAGTTTCTCAAATGCTTGGGTTAGCCCAAGGTTACCAAACAAATCACCACAGACAACAGGCTCTAAGTCTGCTTTACAGACTGGCAGTAACAGGCAGGACAAGATCTGACAGAGGACAAGCGAAGATTGGCCACCATAAACCCCCAGGCCTGTTCTAGAATCAGTACAGAAGTCTGTATGTACACACACCTTACAAATCAGTTTAGGCCAAGAAACAGGCTTGCTACAAAATTTAATACTAAAATGCTATATGACCTAAGGACAGCAAGGTTTTTTCTCCTCCTTGAACATACAATCACCAACCCAAAAATCTCTGCGGATGGGCTAACATTAGGTCCAAGTTTCCCTGAGTCTTAAAGGTGATGCCTAACGAGTCCTTGAAAGGAAGCCCCTATTGCTTGGTGTTTATAGGAAGTCTCAGAGTTATCTGCCTGATGCATTTCTGTAAACTGCTCCCCTCCCAAGAGGCAAAAAGGTAGCCTAGAATTCTAAAAAATAATGTGTGTAACTTTTCTGGTTTTGTCCCTAAAAAGATCTAATATCTAAAGGAAGATCTTCAATAGAGGCCTCAGTGCTCAAGGAAACTGAAGAACTAGTGCCAGTACACACTACCCGTAGTTACTGTAGTCATGGCCACACTCAAGCCAACAATGCCGTGCAGGCTAAAGACTAAAGTTGTATCTAGAAACTGGCATGAGAAAAAAAAACAAAGGGAAAACAACAGGCTAGTTTAAAAAAAAAAAAAAACCACACACCCCAGAAAAATAAAAACAAACAGCCATCATAGTGTTGGCACTCTTCAGCAGTTCACCATCTTGCACAGAGGAGTATGACCTTAAATCCTTTTTCAAGTTACCTTCATGTGCCAATAATTATAATTCTTTGGAAAACATGGGCAAGACTTAAAGGTTAAGAGCACTTCAATTACGGCGTACTTACTGGCATAAAATTGTCTACACTCAGTATTTAAAAAACAGTGTTAATAATCTGTGCTGTTAAGTTAAACCTAAAGAAAAAAACCCAGCAAACAGCAAAGGATAATATACATAGATAAAACCATATTCAAAATTGTAACATGGAAAATACATAACCATGCTTACCATGTAAAGTCCAAACAGAGCTCTCATATTTCTGTTGTTAAGCTTCAGTGCTTGTGCAAAATACTTTCTTGATAGCTCAAGGTTTTCAAGCCCCCCTTGAGTGTATTTAACCTGTAAAAATTATAAGCTCCTGAAACTTGCACATGTCATCCATACCTGAGGCTTTCACTGTTGAAGCAAAGATATTATGAAACTTCACTTCAGGTTTGTTTCACATCAGGTGACTCCTACCAAAGGCGAAATACTGGCTTGGGAGAAATCCGAGCTCTTTTCAATACATACATTTTAAAGCATTTAACTACAGGAGGAAAAAAGCCAGCATTCATTTAATTAATTTATTGCTACAAGAATAAAAAGTGATTATTTTTCACCTATGGATAGTTACTACCTTGGGATAGTCTCTTTATACAAACTTTAAAGCTAAATTCAGCCTGCTGTAAATCCATACTAAGGCTGTATTCCCTCACAGGAATATGTACTCTTTCATCACAGCATTACACCAGTCCACGGAACAACACAATGCCTTTCATTATCTATTCAACTGCACAACAGTTTAGAAGATTAATCCACTGTTTTTCTATGCATTTTGCCTAATATTAGATCAAAAAAAGAGGGATAAATACTAGAAGACATGCTTCACAGTCTTTCTACCAGAAAGTTATTGAGACTTAAAAGTTTTAATGTACACCCAATTTTAACCAGATTAACAAAACAAATTAAATCCATTCTACGCAGTTAGCAGTATCGCTTAGGAAAAAAACAATGTACATCTGAAAAAAAGAGTGAAAAGAGCTAAAACCTCTGAGGGCTCTCTCTCGCCCCAGTGTTCTTTCAGGTGAAATTTCCTATGTGGTTTCCAAGACCGGGCTCCACAATAAGAGACCATCTATCGTAACCTCCTAGGCAGCATTGTTGTGGAAAAGTTTAACTTCTCATGTACTTAATTTGAAAAGTGCATATATATTTCAACAGGAATAGCTCATTTAAAACAAATTTTTATCTTTAATAATTCTTGCCCATATTCTTATATTTAGCTTAGTCACACTGAGTAAGAAAACAGTTTTCTTAACATGTTAAGTTCTCCGAGATGTTAACATTCTCTCTGTACTCTCTTTAATCTCCTAGGCAAAAATTAAATAAACCATTTTTATTCCATTTTCATCACTCCAGTAACTTAAAAACAGAGTATGATTTTTCTGAAATGACTTACTTCAGCATATTGCTGACAGTATAAGTGGTTGTGTGGATTAGTCATCATAAGCTCCTCTAAGCAGAAGGCTGCCTTTGCATAGCTGAGAAACACAAAAAACAGTGACAAAATGAAACAGAATATACTGTTCTTTGCTTCAGTTTCTTTACAGCACAATAAAACAAGTCTTACTTTTCCCCTCATAACTTCTCATGATTAAGAAAAATATTTTATTTTTAAATGATGTTTCAAACTTCAAGTTACTATTTTTACATCATAGATAGTCAAAAATATAGAGAAATTAATAGTATAGCTATATATGGAACAGGTCATTGAACGCATTTAACACTCATTTCTTGTAAGTAACTGCAATTTCTGACCAACAAGAGTGATGAGTAGAAACAGGCATTAGGATTCAAAACATAAGGCATTATAACATAACATAAGAGCTAACAAATAAATGACTAAGATACTGAACTTGGACTACAAAACCAGTTCTTTTTCTACAAGAAAATTCAGTTACCTGAGGATTCACAAACCAAGCTATAGACCAGAGCACTTATACTGTCAGTTAACTTTGCCTGCACACAGTCAACCACAGAGGTGAGACTGAAAAACCATACCAACAACAGTTGTAAAAACCAAACAGTTCAGATCTATAAATGAAAACAGCATCATACCAGTACAAATGGGCAACAACATATCACTGCAAAAGAAAAGGCTAATACTTGTTCTGTAAATGAAAGCTTTCAGAAATATTTAAGAAGCCAAGCTCAAAATGTAGGTGTACGTAATTATAAAAATCCTAGCTTCATAATCTTTCAAAGAACAGAGTTTCCTGCAGAATTTGCATCTTTTACAGATATGCGATAGCACTCTTGCAGAGTTCAGGATAGGATTCCAAACTTCAGGGATGCAACGTTTATATTGACAATGCGGGTAGATATTTAATATCTGGTAAAAGCAATTGAGCAATTATGAGACACTATTAAACCATATAATCTGCAAAATCTTATTTCTTAAAATGAATATATTGTGGTTTTCTAATTTGTTTGTTTTCTAAAACCAAGTAAGTTGACGAATTGTTTTCTTTTTTTAAAATTAACTTTTAGTTGCTTTTTAGCCAAGATTCTAACTTTTCCCAATTTAACCATCAAAATAGTAATAACGATGCTCATAAAAGTACAGTGAGCACAGTCATTTTTTCAGTGAACTGGAGAAAGTTCTACGTACTTTATTTTATTAGAATTACAGACCAAGACAAATACAAGCAAAAGCAATTTCTTTCTCAGGTTTTATTACACAATTTTGTAATAAAGATTATAGAAAGAAAAAAACCCCAACAACCCAGTAATGAAATACGTATGTTTGCACCACTCTATCATTCCCTTTTGTACCAACAGATACAGCAAGCTTAAATATCTTTCTAAATATTAAAAAAAAAGGAAAAAATTCTATTTTCTTGAAAAAGTGCTGGTGAATTTCCTAAAACAAGTGGAAATCTGGATATCAAAATTCTAGATTAATCCTTATATCAGCATGTGAGAGAGTTTAATAATTATTTTATTTGAGAATGGGGCGGAAGGAGAGGTGACGAGGGAACAATTTTTTCATCACAGTGAGAACAGTTATTTCTTCCTTGAGAATTTGATTCTTTTACTACTCTCTAGAAAGGAAGGAAACAATGTGAAATAATTCAGGCTGAGCTGAAGAACTAAAGACGGGGAAAAAAGATACGCCTTTGGGTGGAGGTCAGAATTAATGCTATGATATTAGAAAACTTGCACTAAGGCTTTGAGCTAATCCTCCCACACTGGGATTTCCTCTTGTCACTACAGCAATAAAAAAAAAAAAAAAGAGCTAACAAAAACATTAAATATCCAATAAGCAAGTTACTACAACATTCAGCATTCTTGACTGCGTTGGGTTTTGTACCCAGGCGACCAGACGCCTCTAACTCTAGATCCATGTTCTGGGGTTTTTTAAAGGTTACTAAAAGTTCTTGCAGAGGTAGGTTTAAAGAAAATCAGAATTTCAGTTGCTGTGATCAGCTGGTTTTAGAAGAAAAGAATTTAAACTTAAGCTAGTAAAAACATCATTTGAATGAAAAGTTATGGGAAGTAGGTGCTGTTCCCTGCTACACTCAAAGCACTGTTCTTAAATACGAGATTTTTTTTAAATGACTGAAAAGTACAGGTGATTAAGTAAACTGTTTCTGTTTTAAAATCAAATGCCTTATGAAAGCATTTGGTAGTCAAGTAAGGTTGGTAATTATTTCGTGTTGATTCCTGTTATATTGGAAATGAGACAGCGTACTTTCTAACACCAGTCCTTCAAAAAAAGCACTGAGGTCTCTGACTTACACAGAGTAGGTTTCAATTTAACCGTTCTTATGTGGGCTTAGCAAACAACTTACTCATGTTCATTGATGTAAAGTTCTGCAAGTTCGTGCCAAGCTTCTTGGTCTCCAACAAATCTGTATAGAGAAGACAGGAGGGGGAAAAAGGAAAAAAAGAAAGAATGTGCAAGGGATTCTGTAAATGACCAGCATGGAAGCAAAAGCGTAAATCAAATGCAAATTCCATTTTAATTAAAAAGATTTATCAGAATGGCAAAACACAGTCCGTATTCTTTTAAGACACTCACTGTTCCAGATACTCATTCAGCTCTCGGATGGCCTCAAGATTTTTCCCCTGGGCTTTTCGAATGGCAATCTTACGCTTTCTTGCTGCCTGTGGGTTGACATTAATAAAGGATTAGGGTCTCATAATTCCCTGGGTTTTTGTAAAGAAAGCAATTTGACTGTGCAAATTATTATCTCAATACCAGTGGAATTCCACTGCAGAGCAACTGCTAGGTTGAAGTTTACAAACATAGCCTATGACATCCCACTGAGAGACTGAAAACCTCTTCGTACAATCACATTATGTATGCTTTTCTTTGGAGGCACAAACTGTATGCATTATCTCATTCAAATAAATGACTGTCCAGATTCTGATAATTACAAAACAGCAGGGGATGCTAATCTTCAGCCGTTCCAAAGACCCCCACCTTGTCATTCACCACATCCGTGATTATAGACGAGAGATGGTGACTGAGTCTTAGAGAATCCCACAGATCCATGTTGGTTGCCACAGTATATATATGGCTTTCAGCCATTTTTAAAGATTTTTGTTGGAGCTACAAATGCCATCTTTAATTAACGTTGAATATAGATCAATTTTATAAACAGGTTTCTCAACACTGGAGCACACAGCAGACTCTTCAGTGCAAAGGGAATACAAAATAGCCATTTCAGTGGCAAAACTGAGCAGTACTTCTATATGTGAGTGGAAAATATATTTCAACATAAACAATATAAAAACAAGTTACGAGAATTATAACCTATTTAAATTTTGAACTCCATACAAGTTGTTACAGAGCACCAGGAGGGAAGATACACAGAATTTTAATAGTTGATTATTCTACACTTCAGTCTGAAGTACTGTACATTCCAGTGTCTGAAGCACGTTGGTTACAGTTTTCAGACCTCTAGGAGTTGTGAATCTACTTAATTACACTTGAGGTGTAATTCAAAACAGACATCTTCCCAGCAGTGTGAGAGTTTGGAGCAAACAGCACTACACCTCAGCCAGCCTGACAGTCATCAGATCAGGTATCTGACAGAATGGAAGGAAAACCAAATTCCAGCGTATCAGGCCCCAAAGAACGAATGCCAGCCGCCTCCTCCCTTGTCTCTAGCCCAGTTCCCTGGGTGATCACAACTGCTGTAGTCAGACAGGAGAAGACGGGCGGTCTGGGGTGCGTGATGTGTCTGCGTGTAAACTCACTTATATGCCATTTCTTTGTAAGATAATATTAATGAAGAAAACCTAATAAGCACGCTTTTCCAGTAATGAAGTCCCACTGCTTATTCCCCTCATAGCTCTCATGCCGCTTCATCAAAATACTTCACTCTTCTGCTTAAATGAAAGGCACAGGCAGAGAGCAAATTCATCAGAACAATCAGGAGACAAATTAGGTCACAGACAGCGTGGTGGGTGTACCCACAGTCATTTTGTTTTCCACTGCTTCTTTGTCAAGCAGCAACCTGTGAAGTTGCATTCATCACTTCACTTTTACTGGGAGACAGTTGGCTAAAAGCCATAACCGACTCTGGAAATTTTAATGGCTGACCACATTTATCACTGTAACAATAATACAGACAGTCTATTTTATTCTTGAGTTTTTTAAAATAAATATAAACAGTGTAATTAATTTCTTCGAAATAAAAAAAAGGAATAATCCCACATGCTTATCATATGGCTACTATAACTAATTAAAAAAACCCGATCAACCTAACAACCCCACTGCTCTCTATGGCATTTTACGACGAGCTCTCGCAAAGCAGGTCAACACCCTTGCTGTGGTGGTGTCACTAGGGCAGTGACAAGCTCACTACCCCAGGCTGATATTATACACAGCCCACTGACCTGCCCACTGAGCCCGAAACACGAAAGAAGGGCAAGTGGGGATAACAGCGTGTACAGCCAAAGGAACGTATCGTGCAATCACGGCTTAGGCGGACTGAAGGTTTTTTGCAGGTAACAAGAGTCTCTGCTTTAAAATGTAGCTTTTGGATTAAAAAGACAGTTGTTATTTTCAAAGTTTAAAGAAAAAAAAAGAAATCAAGAGACTGATCAAAACTAAACTGCTTGAGAACTGGATTTTATATATTAAACAGATTATTTCATTGATGCATCTGACAATTTGCAACAGCAAACAGGAACAGTCTACATACGCCATCCTCCTTTTTTATTTCTAATGCAACTCCTTCAATCTCATGTAAATCACTCGTCCAAACGAGTCTGGAAACAGACGTCCTCCATGGCTGCTTTATTTCTTAACCACAGCATTCCCAAGTAAGGCAAATCACTGGAAGCTCAAGAAGTTAATTTATGAAAAGCTACAACTATTTCTAGTCGCAAATATAAACTGATGTTTACCTAGAACAAGCACATCATCTACTGCAATCAAATAGTCTGGATAAAAGGATTAGACATAATTAACGTGTTCGGATGGTAGCACTTAGGAGTTAAATGAATTACATACAGATTTGTCGGAATTCATCTGCTTCTAAACAGCACCAAATCCCACAACATTTCTTCAAAATTACACTTTTTGTTTCTTATTTGAGGAAAAAATACTATTTAAAACTTCCCTTTTTATCCACCTTCCTTATAATCAAAAATAAAGCAGCATCTCACCCTCAAATAAACCTTTAAAAATGCTGGGATAAGTTTATTTAGAGAGAACTCTCAGTTTACACAAAGGAGGCTCAGCCACTCAAAACACTGCTGACATTCAGAGGATAAACAAAATGTTGTGTAGTAGCACAGAACTTTTGAAAGCTGGGAAGAAGTCAGTGAGGATGTAGGAGTTTTTGAAAGCAATTACTAAGATTTTTTCCATCACATAAATTAAATTATAACACAAATATTCTGAAGGCATTACCAAGAGACATACACACAGGTGTTCAGCACCTCTGAAGTATTCAGATCTGTGATTCCTAGGAGTGATAAGGCAGGCTAAAAAATAAAGACATGAGAACAAACTACTATTGCTTCACTCTCCCATCTGACTTTCTACTTTTAATCTGAATCATGAAGACAACCAGGGTTTTATTTTTTTTTAATAAAAAATGAAATTCATTTACTCCAGTAGTCAATGCTTTAAAAAAAAAAAAACCACATGTATGGAAAGGCCTCCACTAAAACCAAGACACGGGCCATTTTGTGCGCTGTAAACTTCTGTTGTTCTGATTTCTACAGTCCCTGAGCCCCCACCTAGCTCCCTGTGCGTATCAGCTTCCTCTGCAGTGAGCTGGGGCTCGCACTCAGCCTGCTCGCTGAGCATCCCGAGGAAAGCAGCATAACTAACGCCAATTTGCACACATAGCAGCAATTCTTTATTTCCATGAAATTCCACGAAATGTGTTACTGGGCAGAACCACTGCCAACACTAATAACCACTTTACCAGACAAAAAAAATGTTATTTGATAAGGAGAGCCAGCTCCCACCAATTCTACAGGAGCTTCACCCAGCTTCAGATTTCATGTATCTATCTGAGTTATTACCTGCCTTAGTATCAGCCGACAGAAGAAAACCAGGGAATTTCATATGTTTTATTATGTTTCAAGATTTTTTTTAGTAAAAATCTCACATTTCAAAATATAAGCTCATTTTTAGGCGACCTACTGCAAGGTACTAGAAACCTGCAAAATGCACAGTACAAAGCTCTTCAACCATTAATTTTAAGTTCACTAACAATATGCACGAGAACCATTTTTAACTACAAGCTTTGAGATTATTCTGAAATCTATGAAGCATACTAAAAGAGTAACAATTACATTAATAAAGGTTAAAAAATAATGTTCAAGAGTTACAGTTCAGTTCCTCGCATCACGACAGTAAGATTTTTAACGTCAAGCCTGATAAAAAGATGAACTCAATCTCTTTTCTCCTTCTATCTTAAATCAAAGGAAAACTTTCAGTGCTGCAACAAGATCTGCAGTGTTTGACCACAGAACATGGAATTCTGTGACATGGAATTCCCCCTATCAGTTTTCCAGAGTTTAAAACAAAATGCTAGAAGGGTTACTGGCCGATCCTGTAAGTCCAGCATTCTTAATGGAAAGATCTATGCCATCTTAAAGAAACACACACACTGTAATCAGTATCATACGGACTAAGGTCCTTCAGTATGTCACATAGTTATTAAACAGCGAGCCATTCTAAGCTATTTCTTTTAAAGACTGATAATTCCCAATCCGGCACAACACCTAATCCTCCACTTGTCATGCTTCTTTTTAATTAGCATTAAGCAGACTCGAAGTGCTGAACATTCATCAACTTCTGCACTTGATTAGTAAAACATACCAAGAGAGGGGCTAAGATTGTTCTAAATTTCATGGATGCAAACAAAGTATTAGTAGGAGAATTTTCAGGGACTGTCACCACTAGAAAGAACTTCATATGCGTTTAACTGCTGCAGCTTTAAACTAATTATATTTTGCATTTTACACACAAACTCTTCATTTTTTTTTTTAATCAAGGACTTTACAATTTAGAAAATGTGCACTTGGTCTAAGAGTTTGATACATCAAAATAATTTCCGTCAAATTGCAATAGGCAAATCAGAAGTGTCAACAACTACAATAGAGAGAAAGGGAAGGAATTACACGAACGTCAAAAAATACCACATAATCTGAATACAACCACACTAATGAGTTTTTTTTCAGGTTATCTATGCAAGACAGTTAAATCAAGCCAAATCTTGGAAATTAATCTATGCAGGCACAGAGCTTCTGAGTTGAAGCTGCTGCTTTAGGGATAATGGCAAAGCATAAGGAGCAATGGCGAACATAACTTCCTACAGGATTCTAGGGGGAATCCAACAAACAACAACCCATAAAGTCTAACACCAGCACACAGCAAATTCCTAGAAGCTATAAAGGCTAAAAAAGCTTGGAACTGGAAAACATGAAACACGTTTTATAATAAAGAAGAGTAAGAACTGTTTACACAGAGGAAAGTAAGGCTTCCCTGAACTACTGGAGTTCTTCAAAGGAGTCACAAAGACTGTGGATGAATAAAGATCTGTAAATAAAGATTGATTTAAAAGTCAACTTCGACTTGAAAAATAGTTTTAACAAGATCTCTCACTCTGAAGCTGAGAGCTCTGAAAGAAATTAAGC